TGGTAGTGGCTTGTTGCCCTTTTTTCCGCCTGTCTTGGTAGTCAATATAAGCTTCAATTTCTCGATAATGCAACGTAGTGATGGTATTGGTGCCTGACTTGACTAACTTCGGTTGGGGTCATCCTTTTCATCACAGTATGGTTTGAGCCCACTGGTATGAAAGATGGGATGACCTTGAGATAAAGTGGTAACTCTAACTTATATGAGATGTTTCCCATCTTTGCAACGATCCTAAATGGTCCATCATACTGTCGTACCAAATTTTGATGCACACCTCGTAGTTCCTTAAACTTCATTGGGTTAAACATTACCAAAACTATATCCCCAATTTTATAATACGAGGGACGACACTTGCAATTGGCAAACTTCTTCATCTTCATTGTTGACTTGTCCAAGTAAGACATAGCAGTGTCAAGTTCATCCTCCTATGGGCATATGGTAAGCCCTCAAATGCAATCGTTAGTTATTGTGGAGTTTGTGGTTTCTGGCCTGTGGCTAACTCGAATGGTGTTTGCCAAGTAGATTTGCTTTGTTGAAAGTTATATGAGAATTGGGCTATGTCTAATAGTATTGCCCAATATTTCTTACATGAACTCAAAAATTACCTTATCCAGCACTCCAATAAGGCATTGACCCATTCTTTCTGTCCATCTGTTTATGGGTGAAAACTAGTGGAGAAATGCAACTGTATGCCAAGCATATCGAACAACTCTATCCAAAAGTTTCCTGTAAAATGTGGGCCTCGATCGCAGATGATACGCCTCGAGAAAACCTAATACTTACCACGACCTTGAAGAATAATTTGGCAGCCTCTTTAGTAGTGCAACCTGCTTTGGCGGGCATGAAGCTAACATACTTCAAAAACATATCCACCACGACCATGATCTTCCTATATATGTTAGACTTTGGTAAGCAGGTTATAAAGTCCATATCCATAGGCACTCCACTATGGGTAGTGATTCTAATAGTAATATACGTTGTTGTTGCTCTATCTTATCTTATTGGCACACAAGACAAGTCCGCACATAACAATCTATCTTTTCTCACATGCGCGACCAATAGTAGATTAACTCGATCAATGCCCTTATGTAACGCTTCCCCAGGTGTCCAGCCCAGGCGTTTTGTGGCTATCCTTTATGATATGCTGCTTAATAGTTCCAAACTTAGACACGTAGACCCTTCGTCTGACAGTGAGTAATAGTCCATATTCCATCCAGAAGTATCTCATTTGCCTTGAGCAGCTAGCTCCATAAGTCATTTTGCTTCAGAATCATTATGCATACCATCCTTAATAGTCTCTTGAATATCACAGAAGATTGTGGTGATGATAGCAAGCTCAGACATTCTACTCAAAGTATCAGCCACAACATTTTTCCCTTGCTTGGTTTGTACACTAACTCATAATCAAATTCGGCTAAGAAATCCAGCCACCTTGCTTGCGTTGGTGTGAGTTTCTTATGTGACTGGAAATAGCTAATGGCCATACAATCAGTATTAACCATGAATTTGGTATCCCGTACCTTGGCCTCATCCATCCACAACTAATATTAGCTAATGAAATTCCCCAAGAAGTGTACTTCATGATGGGAAAACTAAAGTTTCTCCCACTTGATGTAAAGCTTGTTCTCTCGTAGGACTTGGAAAACCTTTTACAAGTTATCGACATATTCCTCCAAGATATTTATTTAGATGACTGTGTCATCTAAGTACACCACTACGAGCTGATCTAAGTATGGATGAAAGATCTTGTTCATTAGTGTTCAAAAGGTAGCATGTGTGTTGGTCAATCTGAAGGGGATCACCAACAACTCAAAAGCTTTGTATCTAGCTAGTGACACATATTATCTTCGGCTCATCCCCTTCTTCTATGTGAACTTGGTAGTAGCCTCTTCGAAGATCCACCTTGGTGAAGTACTTGGCATGTCCAAGTTTCTTGAACAAGTTGCCAATGAGCGGGAGGGTGTATTTGTTCTTTATTGTCACTTTGTTGACCACCCGGTAGTCTATGCATAAGTGTGACAACCCATCTTTGCTATTTTGAAATAGGATCGACACTCCATAAGGTGCTTTAGTCGACGAATGTGACCAACTTCAAGCAACTCCTTTAACTTCTTCCTAAAATCCTCTAACTCAGTTGGATCCATGCGATATAGAGAATATGTGGGTGGCTTCACTTCAGGATCTAGTTTGATATTATGGTCTACCTCGCGCCTAGGAGGTAAGTGCCTTAGCAACTCTTCACACGTTACATATTTGTTCTCTTCTAGAACCTTCGCTATGCATAGTGGCAATGTCTCTCTAGCACCATTATCTTCACCCAAACTCACAATGGAGGCTATTATTGCGCCCCATTTTTCTCAAAATGGGTTATGCAATGACGTGACAACTCTTTTATGATTAATAAAAAAGAATAGTTACCACCTAACGAATTAAAGGCATGTTAGGGCATCATTCTATACAAATTACAAACAAAATTAATTAAAAGGGTCTGTGAAACCATAGATCAGGTAAGGGTTCAAGTTACCTTCAAAGTAAGGTGTTAAGCACCCTTCGAGGTCCACAAATGTGAGTCCTGGTCGAATCTTGTGAATTATGTGGGGATTTAACAAGGAAAATAATATCACTGTAGAACAAAGAATATAAAAAAAAATATTTAAGATGGGTGAATGAATTAAGCATGTATCGATGATTATCTAATTAATATATGACTAGGTGCATAAGATATTTAGACATGCAAACTTACATTTGTTTTTAAAAGCAAGCAACTTAAATCTATGCGAGTTATAAAATTGGCACAAACAGAGCCAATGAATCCACAAAAAAATTATGAATTCAATCAAGCAAAGCAAGATTTTTGAGTACCAAATACAAAAATAAGATACTTGAAATATTAACAAATAAAGAAGGAGAGGTTGACCTGATCGCTTCCAATAAAATGTTGAAGTGTGTGGATAGTGTGAAATAAAAAGAAAAGCTAAGCAAAAATAAAATAACCATAAGGAGAAGAAAGGACAGAAGTACTAACCCGATTGCTTCCAAATCAAAGAATAAAATATATCATGCAAATAGAAATTTAAATAAATCAACAATACACAAAGTTAAAGTTTCTAGAGAGAGAGAGAGAGAGACCAGAATATGACAAGGCTAATATGGGTCCAATACGGTGTTACTCCCTCTATTCCATTTTTACTGATCGGTTCTCTAAATGCCTTAAGAAAAGATGAAAAGTATTTTTTTGAAAAATTATTCAAGAGTACTAAATAAAATATTTTGATATTTAAAAAGTTGTGTAAAGCTAAACTATAAGTTTTTTTTTTATATTAAAATTATATGAAAGTATGTTGATAAGTGAACGTAATAAAAAAATTGTCAAGTTTTTAACACTTCTAAAAGGGTGACATATAAAATTAGAATAGGAGGAAATAATGAGTTGCCTTATTTTTATTAAGCTATATGTGCTCTTCATACAAGAAGTCAACTATAACCTAACTGTTTTCATCATTTTTCAAAATTTACTTGATACCCTTTTTGGGGTGACAATTTCACTTTAGCTCGGCTTGTCACATTGACTTCTCCACTTGCCATAATTGAATTCCAAGCAACGGTGTTGCAATATAATGTACATTCAAAGAATATTCAAAGAGGTGAGAGTATGTTTGTTCTTAGTACCTTAAAATAAAATACTAAAGTAATAAAGGTACTCTTAAAAAAAAGTAAGCTTATAAGGACACTAAAGTAAGACAAGATAACAAAATAGTTAATGAAGTAACTACCTTGAACATACCACAAATTATAATTCTAGCAAAGATCACTAACCAATTAAGCAGTATTCAAATAAGCACACAAAACTTGTTGTAAGAACCGAAGTCCAAACTTCGTGCAGCCACAAGAACAACAAAAACTTATAAGGTAGTACGTAAGAATATTATTGCTTTTGAGAGTGTATAAGAGTGTTGTGCTTGTTTAAGTGTGTGGAAAAAAATGGAAGGAGTCTTGTTTTTATTGTATATTATAGAGGACACATCAACAAGTACAAAAATAGAGAAGAGGAAAGAAAATTATTCTTCTCAATTAGATCCACATTCTTGGTATTTAATTGATTGATATTATCATAACCATGCGAATTTAAAAAATCTAGTTAATCAAATATGATACTAAGTCAAAGTTTTTCCAAAAATAAACAAGCAACAGGGAACATCAATGCATAGATTTTGCCATAAATCAATTGATATTAAAATAGTACAGTTTAATAAGAAAAATAGCCAATTAGAGATTACCATCGATGAATCTTTCATAATCAATAGAAGAAAAGAATCACGAATGACCTCCAAAATTAAAGGAGCCATGTTAATACAATCAAGGACTTCAGTCCAAAATAACATGATTTAGAGACTGCCATATTTAAAGGCCACGTATGTATATTTACTTACTATAACTTGCAAAAGTTTACCAAGAACAATTAAGTCAAAGATGTCCACACTAACTAAAGGAAAAAAATGTTAGAGAATAAAATAGAGTCAATCAAGGAGAAGAATCATGTCAAAAGTTTGGCAAGGATAGGTAAATATTAAGGTGCACCAATCGATTAAGGGAACAAAAATGGAAAGAAGCATGAATCATGGCGATTTTCATAATAATCGATCAATTCATTAAACAAATAAATCAAATTCTCATATTAAAGCTTGCTACAATTAAATGAAGAAACCACAACTCAATTAGTATTTTTAAGGAAAAACTCAAGGGCGTACTAACACCCATTTACAAAAGGGGCAAATTACATTCAAACAAAAATAGGAACACAAAAGGCGAAAAATGCACAAGTTTAAGAACTCAAAATTATAAGGAAATATTGCTTAAGAGAAATTTCATGGCCATTATTGAATTTCATGTAGCGTAAGAATTCAATCATAACTACTAAACTAAAAAATATAGGCAATTTAAGAATTTTTTTAAAATATGAGATAATAATCCAAATTAAAAAATAAAAAAAATGAACCGGGATGGATTTGTTAAGATCTGTCTTCAACAACCCCCAAAACCTTAAGGCTCCAACGGGTCTCGCTGGTCGGAGCGTCGAGCAACTGTGCTCTTGTTTAGTTGTTGTAGATCTCGCTGAGGGAGGGATGATGGTTGGCTTGCGTTGTAGAAGCCTGATGGATCTTCGCAGCGACTGTCTTGTCGGAGTTTCTGGTCGCAACTAGTGAAAAGAAGAAGAGGAGCAGATGGGTTGAGGTTGCATGGTGCAGCGCTTCACCGGCCAGCACGCAAGAGAAGAGAGGTGGGGGGCAAGATAAAGGAGAGGAGAGGGGCGACTGGTTTGGGTGGTAAAGCGGTCGTTGTCCACTAGTGGTTGGAAAAGCACCATGAGGAGAGAAGAAGAGGGAAAGGGGCTCACTTGGTGAGTGACCCGCGAGTGAGGCTGGAGCAGGGGTTTCACCGTTGGTCTTCACCGACGATGGATGAAGTTGGGAGATAGGGGAGCGGCTCCTGCCGTTTTCAATGAGAACGAGGAGAAAAAATAAAATTAGGGTTAGGGTGTTGGGATATTAATATAGGGAAGTGGTAGGAGACTCAATCTTAGTTGTTGGATCAAGATGAGATGTGGGATTGTGATATAAAAGAATGGAATGGACGGTTGGGAATAAAGATGAGATCTTGAGATTGGGATGGAATTGATTGGTTCAAAATGGGCTAAAATTGAGATAAAATTAAGTATAAACGGGTAAAAATTAAATAGATTGAATAAAAGGGGCTACGATTCAAATGATTTTAAGAAAAGTTTGATAAATGTTTATCCAATAAATGGTTATACGATACATATTAAATAATTTTCATATAAGATTAACACATTTAAATATTGTAGACGTTAATTTGACAAGTAGATTAATTATCTCAAATTTAGCAACAACAACAACAACAGAAGTAGCAATAGCAACAACAACAACAACAACAACAATAAAATAATAATAATTTTTTAAAAATTATGAATACTAAAGTATATGATTAATTAGATAAAATTTAAACATAATTCTAAATATATAATAAAGAAATAGATTTTAAACACATATTTAATCAAATAGCAATTCGAAAATAGTTATATATCGTTCAAAATTGGTTGTCAACAATTGCCCCTCTTTTCTCGATAATGAAGGATGAACTGGCGGGCAAAGACGTTGACTAAGTAGCCAATTTTTTTCCGACTAACGAAAATATATTAGCGGGATCAAATAAAACGATAAGCAATTGTGAAAAAAAAGGTGTGGCTTAGATTTTGTCCTTAAGTCGCCTATATATCTTTGGCAGGGGCGGAGCTATGACTTGGCGAGGGTGGTTAGATGAACATCCTTCGTCAGAATTTTTTTGCAAGTATATATACTAAATATCAATAATTTTGGATATATACTAATTGTTGAACACCCTTGACACAATAAAAGTAGACAGCCCAGCTGTTAAGGCTGTGCAAAGTCACCTCAGTGTTCTGGGTTCGAGCCCGAGTTTAGGTGTTTTGCTTAATTTTTTTTTGTTATTTCATTCTTTCTCTTTAAAAAACCAAAACTCAGTCTTTTGTGGCCTGGGTTCGAGCCCAGACTTGAGCATTTCGTTTATTTTATTTTTGTTCCATTTTTCTCTTAAAAAATAGTACAAAAGTGATCTTTTTTAAGTTAAGAAAAACAAAAGGTCTTCTTTTGAGTTTTCTTAATTTTAAAAAAAAAATAGATTCATAGTTATTTGTCTTTTCCTTTTAGTTTTTTTTCTTCTCCTTCTCCCAAAAACACTTTATAACTTTACTCTTTACCTTTCTCGCTTCTCAATTTTCATACATATTTGCAAGTTTTAAGAAATTGGAAACTTTAATCATTGTATATTTCTTCCTCAACCTCCATTGAAGTGTGAAAAGGTATTTCTCAATTCTTTTTTCCTTTAGTTTAATTTTTTCTAATCATGTGTTGAAAGACTTGTATATATTAATTTTTATGTTGAAAGCTACTTTATTTATTCGAGTATCGATCATGTATTGGGTGTATTCAGGATTGATTTTTAATAAGTTGGTACACTTGACTGCTATTTCAGTTTGGAGTTCAATGAGCTTCGAGAAAATTCTTTTTAGAGTACCCAAAACAATTTTGGCGCCTCAAAATCAAAATCAACTACGCCGAGATGAAAATATCGACAAAATCGAAATACCATCTCCCTCTTATGAAAGACAAGAATTTGATGTAAATGATTTAAAGGTTGATCCGGCCAAAAGAACTCCAATTTTGAATTATCATCCAAACCTTCGTGATGAGATAAGGAGGGAATACATCATTAAAGGTCCTTGTCAACCTCGAACTCATTAGTTTCCTCAAACTTATTTTTTTGGAACACCACGTTGTTTTGTTTATACGTGGTTTGATGAATATCATGATTGGTTGGAATTCAGTATTAGTGCAGATGCTGCTTATTGTTTACCTTGTTATTTATTTCAATGAGAAAATATTAATCAAGGTGGTGGTAATGTATTTTCGACTAAGGGATTTAGAAATTGTCATTGAAAGGATAGGTTTGCTACACATATTGGTACACCGAACAACATTCATAATCAATCCAAAAGAAAGTGCGAAGATCACACGCGAGAATAACAATCCATTCAAGCCGCATTTTACAAGTTGGATGATAAAAGTAAGCATGAATATCGGGTTCGCTTAAACTCTTCAATCGATGTGATAAGACTTTTCTTGAATCAAGGTTTTGCATTCCGTGGTCATGACAAGAATGAATTGTCATTGAACAAAGGTAATTTTCTTGAAGTGCTTTCTTGGTATGCTGCTAGATATGATGCAATTAATTCAATGACTTCTCATGACATCCAAAAAGATATTGCGACTACGTGTAAGATTGAAACAGTTAAGGCTATAATAGAGGATATAAATAATGACTACTTTGCTTTATTGGTTGATGAATCTAGAGACGTGTCACGCAAAGAGAAAATGGCTATTTGTCTAAGATATGTTGACAAAAGGGGGTTTGTGATGGAGGCATTTATTGGACTTGTTCATATTAAAGATACTAGTGCTTTATCTCTAAAGGAAGAAATTGTAGATGTACTTGCTCACCATTCTTTGACCTTATCTAATGTACATGGGCAATGTTACGATGGGGCAACTATTATGCAAGGTGAGGTAGGTGGTATTAAAACATTGATTAGACAAGAAAGTAGATCGGCTCATTCTGTCCATTGTTTTTCTCATCAACTTTAATTGATTCTTGTTGCGGTTTCTAAAAAGTGTGTTCAAGTTGGCGAACTTGTATTATTAATTTTAAATATTTTGAATGTGTTGGGAGCTTCTTTTAAACGTGTATATAATTTTTGAGAATCTCAAAAAAAGTATCTCCGAATGGAATTGGATATGGGTGAACTAGAAACGGGTAGAGGGTTGAACCAAGAACTTGGTCTTGTTAAAATCGGTGATACTCATTGGGGATATCACTACAAGTCATTTGGAAACTTTATTAGTAGCTTTGACTCTATTGTTGATGTACTTGATACTCTTGTTGTAAATTCAAGTACTTTTGGAGAAAGAGCAAGCGCATCGGGATTTCTCAGAAGTTATCAAACGTTTTGAGACTATTTTCTTGTTGCATTTGATGACTGATGTTTTTAGGAATCACAAATGATCTTAATGTTTCATTACCGAAAAAGGAGCAAGATATTGCAAAATGCCATGATTCTTGTAAAGGTAGCAAAGAGAAGGTTGCAAGCTTTAAGAGATAATGAATGGGATCCTCTCTTCAAAAATATTGGTGGGGATTCACTTAAAGAAAAGGTACAAGCATTTTGTATCAACCATGGCATTTCATTACCCAATTTTGATGATCCATATGATAATTCTGGGAGATCAGGACGTAAAGTAGTTATTTGTACTACTTTGAATCATTATCGTGTGGATGTATTTTATAAGATCATTGATTGGCAGCTACAAAAACTTAATGACCATTTCAATGAGGTGACAAGTGATTTGCTTAATGGAGTATCTTGCTTGAATCCACTTGATTCATTTTCTAGTTTTGACATAAAGAAGATAATGAGAATAGTTGAATTATATCTTGATAACTGATATGAGTCCAACATGGGAGCTCTTGAGAATCAACTTATTAACTACATTTTTGACGTTCGTGATATTGATGAATGGTTCTCCAATTTGGGCGGACTTGGGGAACTTTCAAGAAAGTTGGTTGAGACAAAGAAGCATTTAAACTATTCTCTCGTATTTGTTTTAGTGAAGTTTGCTTTGCTTCTACCTGTTGCCACTGCTACTGTTGAAAGAGCTTTTTCAGCAATAAAGATTATCAAGATGACTTGCAAAATCGACTGGATGATGAATTTTATAGATGGTTGCATAGTTCCTTATGTAGAGAAAAAAAAGTATTTAAAGATGTTTCTAATGAGTGTATTATGAAAACATTTCAAGAGATGAAGTGTTGTCGAGTGCAATTGTAGTTACCACTTTACATATTTTGGTGTATATGAAACTATTTGTCAATATATTTGTCCTACATCATCTTGTAAGTTTGTAAGTTTCCATTTTAAGAATTTTCATTTTCGATTGTTGGTTAATTTGATATTGAACAGGTAAAGAGTATTGTAACACCCAGTAGTCTAGACGGACCAGAAATGCAGGTTTTAGAAATTGCAGGCGCCACCAATAGGGCCACCTACGAACCGTAGGTGGGGTCCGTGGTTGGCCTTCTGCAGCCACTCTCCAGAAACCCAGACTTTTTCAGCCAAGGGTCGACCCATGCTAGGACCTATGTACTGTAGGTGGGACCACGGTCCGTGGTCCAGGCCGTGGTTCAGACCCCCAAATTCCATCTCTCTGAAGCCAGTCGACGCTGACCAGGACGGACCGTAGGTCAGTCGACGGTCCGTCGATTGGCCCAGACATCTTTTAAATCAGGGGTCGTTTGGTCTTTTCTCTATGTGTTGGACACCTAAACTACGTCGTTTAACCCCTAAACTACGTCATTTTGGTCAGTTTTAGCAGAGTAACTTAATCAGAACTTGCATATTTTGGTGTGTATGAAACTATCCGTCAATATATTTTTCCTACTTCATCTTCGTTAGTTTATCCAGTGATATTTTGTAAGTTTCTGTTTTAAGAATTTTTATTTTGGATAGTTGGTTAATTTGATATTGAACATGTAAAGAGTATGAACAACTTGGAGCACTATGTAGAAATCAATAATTGAGGTATGACTATTTTGTGGCCAATCATTATAATCTGACCAGCAAGGTTTACTTTTTTACTTGTCCTAATGTATAAACACCCTTGACGGAAATCCTGGCTCCACCACTGCAACATCATCAATTATGTAAATTGCTATTGTCCTTTCTTCAGTTGTTTTATCCTTGCTCTTAATATATGGAGGTGGGGAAGTTAATAAGAATGAGATATAAGACAAATTAAAAGAACTTACTTGCAAGAGCTACATTAGAAACCATAAGGGACATACCAACATAGGCCTTGAATATTTTGATTAGTGTACCCAATATTTCACCAGCATATAAAGATTTCAAAATGATAAGTCTGATAATGCCAAAGATATGTTTAATGATAAATAAGTTTACCACTCATTTTTGAGAAACAATCGTATGTTAAACACACTTGGTCAAACACTTCTTTTTCTTGCTCATTTTCCTTCTTGTGCAATTCCCTTTCATAAGAATAAAAGTCTTCAGCTTTTGCTCTCTATTGTTTGCTTGTTCGACTTGAATTAGCCATGATTACCTGCTTTATCTCATCCACACTACTTTGGACCTGGCCTTCAACCAAGAGTAGTCCAGATATCTTAAGTCCAGAGAAGAATACATAATAAGATTAAAATATTAAAATTCATGAGAAAGAGTAACATTGAAATCGTACTATATGTTTTAAGACGTATTTAGGATTTAATTGCAAGTTCAACAATCATTCGCATCTCTAGTAATTACTTGTCAGTTTAAGTCGAGCTTATGCAAAGCTTCCACCAAAGTTGGTACTATGCAGTCGAATAACTGCTGCTTGATGTAGGTCATGTTGTGGTCATTAGCCTATTTAGCAATACCTTCCTCTACAACTAGTTTGGCAGACCATAACAGCTTTGGCATGGATATTGCCAACATATAGTAATATATCAGTAATTTGAAATTTTACAGAAAAGACAAACAAGCAAACTAGAGGAGAATAACTTAGACATAACATAAATTAACCTGACTTCCCAATGGAAACAAAATTTTAGAAGCGGGACAAACATTGGAGTGTCTTGTTCCAAGAATTAGAATACTTATTCAACTTGAAATGCAATACAAGATTTCTCTCAATAGCATATAGAACATGCATGTAGTTAGTGATGTCAACCTGGTCAATCCAAGGGCAGAAACTTTCCCTTAACTCATTAGCATTGTTGAGAATATAATTAAGTAATAAAAGTGTGTTATATCTAACTGTTTAAGCTTTTAGATGAGATGTCAACACACTTCAACATGGTTTTAGAGCAGACAAAAGTCGTGAGATTGACGCCAATCATATCAAAAAGAATTTTTACGTGTTTGATCCATGAAAAAAAAGAATTAGGCTCACGCGTGTGGGGGCATATTGAGAATATAATTAATTAATAGAAGTGTGCTCCATGAAAAAAAGAATTTGTCCTCTCTAACTACTTAAGCTTTTAGATGAGATGGTTACACACTTCAACACGCATAGTGTATTACAAGTTGTAGCCTTCCCCTCTACAACATTGTTTAGGGGGACAATTTGTGAGACACAAGTGTTACGTTAAAACTTGTGTGAACCTCCTTGTATTTCGAGGGAATTGTGTGAGGTTATTCCTCTCTATATTTTGTACTCTCTTTTATATAGTGGATTGCTCATCTCCTCTTATAGACGTAGGTGGATTAACCAAACCACATTAATTGTTTGTGTCTTTTTGGTATATTTCTCATTTGTTTTCTTACTCATGGTCTTTCTAGGTTTGCATTGCTACCTTGGCACCTGATTATTTTTGTCCTAACAAGTTCTTTTCCCAGTGCTCCTCTTATAACAATAAATACTAACCACCAGTTGTGTTTGTGTGGTAGAGATTTTCTCCATACATGTCACATCCCAAGCCTACACCCTAGGTGGGACTGGCACTCGAGAACCATTGTTGGCCACAAGCGAACCCTTGGCCTGGCTTACTTACTCAGTGGAAGACTTACTCATGATATAATACTTTAAAAAGTAAACTGAACTGCTCAATATTAAACTTAGAATGTATTAAAATAACATTCGGTGGACAAAGTGGCAACTCAAGTCTCAACCATCAAAACAGGAAATAGAAAGACTTAAGAACTACCATCACTAATTGTCTATGAAGCCTCTAAACAAATGAGATAGACGTCTTGACAAGACCCACGACATCCTAAAGAACTTAACATACTGAAAGCGATAAAAAGGGGATCCTCCCGAAGCAAGGAGGCTCACCAACAAACTTTGAAGCTCAACTAGAATCAACGATGCACTGGATGCTGATCCTGGTTACTTGTATATGCATCATTAAAAGATGCATACCAAATGGCATCGGTACATTGAATATACGAGCATGCAAGGGGAATACTAAACAAGACATAAGCTTGAAAGGAACTGAAAGAACAAACCTGGTCTCAACTCAACTCAATTGAACTTAACTCATTTCAATATAAAGCAGTATAAACAAGTGCAATATAAAGAAAAGATTTTTGAAACAAGGATAACAACTCTGTGTATTAATACAATAATGACTCTGTGTGTATGCAAAGATACAATGTAAACTCTGAAATGTATATAAAAATACAATTTAATTCTGTGTATATAAGAATACAAAATACTTCTGTGGGAGTTTCTCTAACCGACAACCATCACTTAAGAGCTATTGTGATGATACAAAGTTTGCCTCACGCTGCCAGGGGCGTCCTATACCTTGCCAAGGGCATAGAACCTAACTACTAAGTGGATCCACTAGTCTATGCTTAAAAAAGCACTAATGAATCATCTAAAAAGTATGACCCTTTTCTACCCATGGTGGCTACATGGTTTATGGGGGCTGGGAGTTGTCTGAACTCTCCCCCATATCGGTGCTCAATACTACTCCCAAAATATAATACTAGCTCTTATGTTTAAAAACATATCTTCTTTCTGTGGTTTGAGATAATTTCTCAAAACTTAGCTCAAAGGCTCCACTTGGAAATCAAAGTTTCCTCTCTTGATTAATTGTGAAAGCATTCACTCTTTTTTGAAAACTAAATCAAAGGCTCTTTGGAAATCTCAGTTTCCTTTCTTATTTAAATGTGAAAACACTTTAAACTCTTTGGGAATACATAGTCCCCATATAATCTTTGAAGAAATGAACTTCAACCTTTACTCTTTACTCAACTCAAAACTCAACCCTTAACACAAAGTAAAAACGTTTGTAAAAGACTTTTGAAAAACTCTATGAACTTCTCTTGACTTGACTCCTAACTTTACTTGAATTGAATTATGGATTCAAGGATCTCATTTTATGGATGATTGCATGTTTTTTAGACGTACCTTAGAGTGTAGGAAGCAACTTGAAAACATAGGTACGTTTGAAGGGGACTAGTACTGAAAGAAGCGGGAAATAGTAGAAGACCTAGCGCCCCTGGCGCTTTGAGTGGCGTGGCACGCCAGACCTTGAACGTCAGAGTCTCGCTTGGTGTGCTCTGGCTGGCGTGGTGCCCCAGAGGCCAAACTTAAGAGAACTTTGTGGGGCACTCCGAGTGGCGATGTGCCCTACCCCTTTTCCCATAATTTTGACGAATTCTCTTGGTCATTTTTCAACTCTAAACTCAATTGGGTCTTTCCCCAAACACTTAGATTCGACTACATACCAAAAATATGCAGGAATCTACTCTAAAAGACATCTAATTTCATGAATCTAACTCAATAACTTCTCCAAACTTCAACAATCAAGATTCAAACGAAACTTTCAACAATATTTATCAAGAACTCATAAACTATACTTTCAAGAACATAATTACGTTGAATCAAATCATGATTGGCACATAGGTGAACTAACCCAACGTTATGTGATCTTACATACC